CTCATTTCTAAATAACCACTAAAAAGAATCAGGAGTGGTGCTATGGTTCACATAGTGTAGCACTAGCCTTGAGCAAAAAAAGCTCAGCATAGTGCTCTGGCCCGAGTTCAAGCCCCTGAACTCACAAAAAATAAAACAAAATTTAAAAAAAATTAAAAGTATCATTGAAAAAACTGGAATTAAGAGCAGGAAAACAACTTAACTAGACAATCTCAAAAAGAATGTAACAGATGCTCCATACGTACATAAAAATATGCTCATAAGTACTGGTCATTAAGAAAATGTAAATCAAAGCCACACTACAATATTCCTCCATAGTCACTAGGATGACTATCATTCTAAAAGAAGAAAATTACAGGCACTGATGAGGATGTAAAGTTGGTATCACAGTGCACTGCTGGGGGAAAGTAAAATGGTGCAGCTGCTGTAGAAAACAGTTTGGTGACGTTGAAAACACAAACACACACACACCCAGACAAAACTTTTTTTTTGTGCTGGCTTAAACTCAGACCTCAGGTTTCTTTTCTCCCTCCCCCTCCCCCTCATCCTTCTTCTTCTATCAGTCCTGGGTCTTGAACTCTAGGCCTGGGCGCTGTCCCTGAGCTCTTCAGCTCAAGGTGAGTGCCATACCACTTGAGCCACAGCACCACTCCTGGTTTTCTAGTGGCTAATTGGAGATGAGTCTCATGAACTTTCCTGCCTAGGCTGGCTTTGACCCGTGATCCTCAGATCACAGCCTCTGGATTAGCTTGGATTACAGGTGTAAACCACTGGTCGGCTCCATGAAACTTTTTTTTTTGTCGATCATGGGGTTTGAACTCTGGGCCTGGGCACTGTCCCTCAGTTCTTCAGCTCAAGGCTAGCACTCTACCACTTGAGCCACAGTACCACTCCACTTTTTTCTGCTTATGTGGTGCTGAGGAATTGAATCCAGGGTCTCATGCATGCAAGGCAAGCACTCTACCACTGAGCCACCTTCCCAGCCCCCATGAAACTCTTTATCTCCAATAAACTACTCAAAAAGGCTGGAAGTGCCATTGTGGCTCAAGTGGTAGAGCACTTGCTTTGAGCAAAAGAGGCTTAAGGACAGTGCCAGGTCCAAATTTCAAGCCCCAGGATCAGCAAAATAATTTTTTTGCGGGGCTGGGAAGGTGGCTTAGTGTTTGCTTTGCATGCATTAGGCCCTGGTTTGATTCCTCAGCACCACAATAGCAGAAAAAGCTGGAAGTGGCGTTGTGGCTCAAATGGTAGGGCGCTAGCCTTGAGCTGAGGAGCTGAGGGGCAGTGTCCAGGCTGAGTTCAGCCCCCCACGACTGACAAAAACTATTTTTTTGAATGCAAACTGGCCACTGGTGGCTCACATCTCATCTAGCTACTCAGGAGGCTGAGATCTGAGGATTGTGGTTCAAAGCCAGCTTGGGTAGGAAAGTCCATTTAAGCACCAAAAACTTGGAAGTGGACCTGTGGTTCAAGTAGTAGAGTGCTAGACTTGAGCATGTGTGCACGTGCGCACGCGCGCGCGCACACACACACACACACACACACACACACACACACACACACAAACAAATGCAGGGACATTGCCTAGGACTGGCACATGAAAACAAACACACACACACACACACACACACACACACACACACAAATAAATGCAGGGACATTGCCTAGGACTGGCACATGAAAACAAACAAAAACCTAAACAAAATAAAAACCAGTCATGAAAATTTTTGATATAGGCTACAATATTGATGAACTTTAAAATAAGTCACTGTAATATTTTAGTTATATGAGGAACTTATAGTAGTCAAAGTCAAAGGTGTGAAGCAGAATGGTAATTGTCAAAGACTGAGAGGAAGGAACTGGAGCTATTGCCTAATGAGTTATAAAGTTTCTGTTTGGAATGATGAAATGGAAGTCATGATTACACAATCTTATGAATGCCTTTACTGCTACCCAGCTGAATACTTTAAATGTTTCAAATGACTAATTTTGAATTCTGTATATTTTAACACAATTTAAAAAGTCATCCAAAAAGGAAACTACGTTTTTTTCATTGAATAAGAACTTTTCAATGACAAGTGATCAACATAAAACATAACTATCTTTAAAGCATGAATTATTTTTTTTGTCGTCATGTAGCTTGAACTCTGGGCCTGGGCACTGTCCCTCAGCTCTTCAGCTCAGAGCTCAAGGCTGCCCAGATCAGACGAAATAATTTTTTAAAAGACATTTAAGTTAAAAAAAAATTAAGCTGGGCTCCAGTGGCTCATGCCTGTAATCCTAGCTACTCAGGAGGCTGATATCTGAGGATCATAGTTCAAAGCCAGCTCAGGATAGAACATCTGTGACTCTTATATTCAATTATATTCAACCATCAAAAAACAAACAAGCAAGCAACCCCCCTCGCTTTGAACACAAAAACTCAGGGACAGTGCCCAGGTCCTGAGTTCACACTGCAGGACTGGCTCCAAAATTAAAAACAATTGAGCACACATTTTTGTAGTCAAAATCAAGAAACATTGCCATATACTATTCTCAATCCATCTAGCCATACATGGGAGTGGTATGCTGTTCATGATTCCCCCAAAGGTGTGCATCCCTACCAATTTTACTTATGGAAATGCTTTTCTTAGTTGCATGAATCTGTGACTTCCAGACGGTCACAACAAGGCCAAACACATTGAGAAATGTCTATTTCTCAATATGGCAGGCATATTTATATAAAATGGAATGAGAACTGTGTATGAGTGACAACAGTGTCCAGGGGTGAAATTAAAACAAGTATTTTCAATACCAAGCTCTTCAGAACATATCATTTTGTTGATTACTCCCATCCTATACTCTGTCAGATTATTACTACTGGCTGGATTACTACTATAGCATTTTTTTTTTTTACACTTGCTTCTCTATTACTGTTTCACAGGCAATCCTTGTCCCTGTGGAATTTCTCTTTGGTCTTCATTGTTCAAACTAGCCTTGAACTCCTGGGCCCACATCCTCTTCCTGCTTCAACCTCTCCACTACAGGCTTGCATCATTTGTGCTTTGCTGACATTTTTTTTTTTTTTGGAGGGGGGCAGTATTGGGGTTTTTGACCTCAGGACCTCATGTTTCCTAGGGGTGTGCTCTATCATTGAGCCATAGCCCTTTTGTGCCCTGGTTATTTTTGAGACAGTGTCCCACTGGACAGTGTCACCTGGACGGTGACTTACTCATTTTATTCTTCCCATCATATCTGGGATGACAGGTGAGTATCCCCATGCCCAGTTTCTTCTGTTAAAATGGAGTTTCCACTGGGTGGCTCACATCTCATCTATAATCCTAGCTACTCAGGAGACTGAGATCTGAGGATCACAACTTAAAGCCAGCCTTGTTTCCAATTAAACATTTAAAAGTGGGAAGTGGAGCTGTGACTCAAGTGGTAGAGTGCTAGCCTTGTGCCTTAAGAAAGCTCAGGGACAGCAAGTCCCTGATTGGCACCAGGAAAAAAAAAATTCTGTGAAAATTGTATAGAGTAAGCTACACAAAACCAAAGGGGAAGAGCTCATGAGTAATTTTTAAAGTTTATTATAGTATGATTTGACATTATAGAACTCACTCATTGTATATATATAGTTCAGTTTATTCAGTTATAAAGTTGTGTAATTATCATCATTAAGTATCATGGTTAACATTTTTCTCATCTGATTTTCCCCCCCCTATATCCTATCACAAGACATTATTTGAAAGGCTCCTTCCCTGAATGTTGGATGGGGATGAACTCTAAAATCATCTACAGAATTACTTTCTAGTAGGCATCTGAGTAACTCCTCCAATGAGACACAAGCATTTTTCAAAGTAAAAGAAAGATCCTGTGCTTTTTTTTGGGGGGTCCGGTCGTGGGGCCTGAATTCTGGGCCTGAACGCTGTCCCTCAGCTCTTCAGCTCAAGGCTAGCACTCTACCACTTGAGCCACTGCGCCACTTCCGGCTTTTTTCTTATGTGGTGCTGAGGAATCGAACCCAGGGCCTCAAGCATGCAAGGCAAGTGCTCTACCACTGAGCCACCTTCCCAGCCCTGCTTTTTTTTTTTTTTTTTTTGGCCGGTTCTGGGGCTTGAACTCGGGACCTGGCCACTGTCCCTCTATTATGTCCCGCTATTATTATGTCCACTCTATTATGAGAGCCATACCGCCACTTTCGGCCTTTTCTGTTTATGTGGTACTGAGGAACCAGAGCTTCATGCATGCTATGCAAGCACTCTACCACTGAGCCCCATTCCCATCCCCTCTGTGCTGTTCTTAGAAGTAAAACCTCAAAGGTCAAGCAGGCCCAATACAGCAGATAGTTTGGTGTACAGTACAACATAAGGAAGATGACTGCTCTTGACCCTTTGCAAATAAAGGTTCCATAGTATCAACAAATAAGCTCGTTGGGGGGGGGGGGGGGGAACACAGGTACTGAATGGAACCAAAGGATCAGCAGCTTACTTTCCGGCTCCTTAATCCTACTAAGGGGGGGGGGGGAGGGAAGCCTCCCCCAAAGTACCTGGGAAGCAGAACGCTCACTTTTGTTCCTTCCTACAACAGAAATCCCTTCGGGAAGAAGTAGACTGAGCTTGCTTAGTACCTCAAACCCGCTACAGCCCCAGCTTCCAGCGCCCCGTCTATGGCCTCCTACCTGCGGAGAAGCAGAGTAGGGACACCCTGTGCTTCTGGCGGGCCAAGCCTATCACTGTGGGAGCAAAGAACATAGCTTCATCGTCCGGGTGTGCGATCACAAGGAGGGCTCGGCTTTCGGCTGCTAAAAGGCCTGCCTGCTCCCGACTCTTCCTTCGTTCTGCGGAGTCCCAAACCCAGAGGAAATCCCACGTCAGGATAGGGATCGCCACACACAAAACCCACGCCACTTCCATGCCGCGAAGTAGCGCGGCGCCTGCGCAGTAGCAGGGCGCCTGCGCAGTGTAAGGGAGGCTGCCCGGCCCCTGGTTCCGGCAGTAAAACTTTACCCGCTGAACTTACGTTCCGCCTTAAAGTGCGAGTGGTGAGACCGAAAGGCTTGTGGTCTGAAATGGAAGCCTTCCAACACCGTGTAAGCTCCGTCTTCCACAGCGTCCAGCAAGTCTTCGTGCCGGCTTCACTTTCAGAGCTGCTAATCTCTCTCCTAGGGGACATTTTTTAAAGGTGAACCCCCTGATGTTCGGGGAAGAGTTCCCTCCGCTCTCCAACTCATTTCCAGCAACTTGGAACTCTCGTTTTTTATCTTTTGTAGTTATAGAAGGTTAGACAGTCCTTGATCCAGACCAAAGTTTTCCAGACCAGCACGTTTTTCTTTTTTGTTTTGGAATGCGGATGGTTACAGGAAGGCGGCCGCCGTTTGATAAAGCGCAGCAGGCCCTCACGCGATCGTAGACGAAGGCGCGACCTCGGGGACCAGTCGGCCTCTGAGAGGACTCCGCGCCAAAGCACCGGGTAGGTGGTGGACGTGCACCCGGGCCACGCGGGGCTGGGCCCGCGGCGCCGCAGGTGGGGGGCGCCAGACTCCCCGCGGCTTCCCACGCCCGGGAGGAGGGCCGAGCGCGCGGCGCGGCCGCCTCGCGGCAGCGTCCCAGGCCAGCGGCACGATGGCAGCCGCGCTCGGCAGGGCCGGGGGCGGCACTGCCCGGTCCCCTTGGCGTCTGAGGGGAAGCGCCGCCGCCCCGCTGAGGGGAGACTCGAAAGAAACTGGCACGGAGAGACCTAAGAAACTTGGCCGAGGTAGGAGCGGCGCGCGGCCAGGGGAGGGAGTCCACCTCCCAACCTTCCGGAAGGAGGAGGAGCCGGCGTCGGAGCCGCCTTAGCCGAGGCCGCCGGGCGCGGGGGGAGGGAAAGGAGGGGGTTGAGTCAAGATGGCGGCCAAGGTGGCGAAGCCGCAGCAACAGCGGCGACGGCGGCGGCGGCTGGAGTGAGCGCCCGGCTCGTCGCTCCGAGCGAGGGCCCAGCAGAGGGCCTCGCGCCGGGGCCGCGCCCTTTTCCTCAGGCCGTACGGAACGGGGACGCCGGCTCCCACGCCCCGCCAGCTCCGGGTGAGTAGGCCCCGGGCCCACAGCCCCGGCCTCCAGGCCCCCGGTTCAGCCTTAGGGGCTTCGGAGGACTCTGCGCGCACCGGCCGCCCTCAGGCGTTTCCTTCTCGGCCGGACGGCGCCTCGTACGGCCACTTGATTGGGACCTGTCGTAGCCGCCCCACTACCTCTTCATCCGCCCAGCGATGAGTCGGGCGCGCCGGGAGCCCGGGACGAGTGGGGAGGCTTCTGGAGTTTGGAGGTAGAATGGGGCTGCGGCTGCGGCCCGGCCGCCCCGTTCCGGGTGTTTGCGGCGAGGGAGGGTGCAGAGCCCGACCCGGGAGGACGCCTGGGCTGGGAGTCTCTGGGAGGGGTCGTGCCGGTGGCGGGCCTGGGCTCCCTCGGCGGTGGAGTTGGTGGCCGCCTTGGGAGTGTGGAGGAGGTTGGGGAGGGTGACAGCGTTGGACAAGTGTGTGAAGAACAAACTAGTTCACCTTTCTAAGCCCACTAAGCAGCAGGGTGTAATGGCGAAGGGTGGGTGGTGGTGGAGATGGCAAAGATAAGAACGCTGTCCCTTCCGCCGATTATTACTGGTGGTGTAATGTGCCAAGTGGGCCGTGAACCTCTTTTTTTTGGGGGGGGGACTGGAATTTGAGAAGCTATAATTGATTGAGATGTCAACGGCGAGGATACCAAATTCTTTCAACGAACTGGGTCAGAAGCAGTCATGTATTAAAAGGGTGGATGGGAATAAGTGAATTTAGAAAAAGTATTTTGTTCAGGAAATGTCAGAGTTGCATACCACAGTTGCTTCTTCAACAAGAGTTAACCTAGAAGAGTAGTACTATGGGTAATTCTAATCTTTGGGATTAGTGTATTCACCTGCCTCAGATTTCTTAATGACACTCTAATTATATGGAAATTTACATACCTCGTGTGCACCCTGGTGAGACTATGATTGGAGATTGAATAGAGCTGTGTGCAAACAAGAGGCCTGGGATTTTAAAGGCCTCCACATGTCCATTCATTTGTTCAGTATATCTTGATCCATACAGATGAATAATTCTGGGCTCCATGGATTGTCCTGTTGAGTTTGTGACATTACTGTATTTCTTCCTTTTTTTTTTTTTTTTGCCGGTTCTGGGGCTAGAACTCTGGGCCCTTGCGCCATCCCTGAGCTTCTTTTGCTCAAGGCAAACGTTCTGCCACTTGAACCACAGTGCCATTTCCTACCTTTATTGGAGATAAGAGTCTCAGGGAGTTTCCTGCCCAGGCTGGCTTTGAACCATGGTCCTCAGATCTTACCTAGCCACTGGTATCTGGCTTGTATTTATTTTATTTTATTTTATTGTTGGTCGTGGGGCCTGAATTCTGGGTCTGGGTGCTGTCCCTCAGCTCAAGGCTAGCCCTCTACCACTTTAGCCACAGGTCCACTTCCGGCTTTTTCTGCTGATGTGGTGCTGAGGAAGTGCACCCAGGGCCTCATGCATGCGAGGCAAGCACTGTACCACTGAGCCACCTTCCCAGCCCCTTGTATTTATTCTTAATAATGTTCTTGGAAATATTTTGGTGTCCTCTATCATAAATAGTTTGAACGAACCATTTTGTACTTGCTTAGGATTTGACAGATTTTGAAATAGGTACTAGATGTAAAATTGCAGAGTAAAGAGATTATTTTCTCATTCTGTTGAAACTTCTTGGAACTTTAGTAATTATAGTTCCCGGTTGTTTTGCCTTGCCTTAAGCACACCTGTTAATGAAAATCAAGGTGTGTGTCTTTGTATGTATATGTGTATGTATGTATAAAATATGCATACTAGGAAGTGATTGCTTGGCCATACTAACATACCCTTTCCTTTTGGAAGAGAGCTGCTGTATTTTGAACTACTCCCCAGAGAAAATATGATTTTGAGTTCTGATTATTCCTGTAATTAACTACCTATTTTGTGCTTTAATTTCCTCATCTAGGGAAAATGTCGTGCTTGTTTGCCCTCATAGAGTTGGCCTGTTTGTCTAAAATGAGCTAATAGGAATTATTAAACAAAGCTAAAGGGTTGTATTTCTGGGTGTAGTGGTAACAGCTTTTTGGGATCCTGTAATGCTTTATCTGCAAATCTGTCATGATTCTTTACTTTCTACTTCTATCCTGGAGGGCAGGATAGGATCTTTTCTGCATCTGTGTTTAAGCCACCTGCTTTATGTGTGTATGTGTATATGTAAAGGATATTGACACCTTAAATTTTTGTGGAATGGGTAAACATAGAAAAATATTCACATTTGTTCTTAACAGAATACACCTGTTATCTTCTGTGGCATACCTAAATAGCTGTGATTTCCCATAGCTTCTAAAGAAGTATATAATTTTAACTGGATGCCTTTTGGACTTTAAAAACATAGTAAAACTTTAATAATTGGACTGTCTTCCTAGTTAAAAATGAAATACTTGTAATTAACTTAATTTCTTTGAATGTAACTGAGACAGTTTTTCCCAAGACTGAGTTTGGAAGACTACAATTTTAAAATTGTTTGGTTTTATTTTTATTTTTATTTTTTTTGTCGGTCGTGTGGCTTGAACTCTGAGCCTGAGCTCTGTCCCTGTGCTCTTTCAGCTCAAGGCTAGCGCTCTACCGCTTGAGCCACAGCACCACTTCCAGTTTTCTAGTGTTTTATTGGTGATGAAACTTTCACAGATTTTCTTGCCTGGGTAGTCAGCCTCCTGAGTAGCAAGGATTATAGGCATGGGCCACCACACCCGGCTGTGTGTGTGTGTGTGTGTGTGTGTGTGTGTGTGTGTGTGTGTGTGTGTGTGTGTGTGTGTGTGTGTGTGTGTGTGTGTGTGTGTGTGTACCATTGTTATCTGCTTCAGAAAGCTAAAAGGCCCTTGGATGGTTAGGGATCAGATTTTCTTGCCTGGGTTGTCAGCCTCCTGAGTAGCAAGGATTATAGGCATGGGCCACCACACCCGGCTGTCTCTGTGTGTGTGTGTGTGTGTGTGTGTGTGTGTGTGTGTGTGTGTGTGTGTGTGTGTGTGTGTGTGTGTGTGTGTGTGTGTGTGTGTGTGTGTGTGTGTGTGTGTGTGTACCATTGTTATCTGCTTCAGAAAGCTAAAAGGCCCTTGGATGGTTAGGGATCAGTATAGGTGTCAGCCTGTTGCTACTTTTGTGTGTTTTTGTTAGTTGGTTTTAATTATATTTTTGGTCTTAGTTTTTATTCCAAAGTTTACTGGTTCTTGGAAACGATGGGTCTCTCATATGTAAGTACTCCCATCTGTTCTTTTTTATTTAATCAATAAGTTGCCTCTTCACATGTTCCCCATATCTCAGCTTACAAGTAGCTAGATCTATGGGCTGGTATACAGTACCTGCCCTTGCCTATGTGTTTATTTTACTCACTGGATTTTATTAGAATATGGTACAAAGCAAGTAGTAAAGAGTGATCTGAATTATGTGCAGAGGTTCATATATTTTCCCCTCATTCACTTGTTTATTCAATGTGCATTGAATTTTATATCATATTACTAAATGTGATGTTTAGGGCATATTATTAATGCTATAAAGAGGTCTAGAAGGTATATTATAGGCAAAAATAACCCAGTCTTTACCTGATATTTTTGTTTGTTTTTTTTTCAGGTTTGAAGGTACAAAAAGGTAATTTTGATGTTTAAGAAGGCATTTCTTGGGCTGGGAATGTGGCTTACTGGTAGAGTGCTTGCCTAGCAGGTATGAAGCCCTGGGTTCAATTCCTCAGTACCACATAAACAGAAAAAGCCAGAAGTGGGTTGTGGCTCAAGTAGTAGAGTGCTAGCCTTGAGCAAAAGAAGCTCAGGGACAGTGCCCAGGCCCTGAGTTCAAGCCCCAGAATTAGGAGTGTGAGGGAAGCATTTCTCGCCTGGTTCCAGTGGCTCATGCCTATAATCCTAGCTACTTAGGAGGCTGAGAGGATTGTGGTTTAAAGCCAGTCCAGGCAGAAAAGTCCCAGTGAGACTTTTTTTTTGGGGGGGGGGGGGGTCCAGTCGTGGGGCCTGAAGTCTGGGCCTGGGCACTGTCCCTCAGCTCTTCAGCTCAAGCCTAGCGCTCTACCACTTGAGTCACAGTGCCACTTGAGGGTTTTTTCTTTTTTGCTTATGTGGTGCTGAGGAATCTAACCCAGGGCCTCAGGCATGCAAGGCAAGCACTGTACCACTGAGCCAACTTCCCAGCCCAGTGAGACTCTTATCTCCAATAAATGACTCAAAAAAGCCTCAAGTGGATCTGTGGCACATGTGGTAGAGGCTAGTCTTAAGCACAAAAGAGACTCAGGGACAGCGCCCAGGCTCTGAGTTCAAACCCCAGAACTGGCAAAAAATAACAAAAACAAAACTTTTCTAGGAGGACTTCTTATGGGTTCTTAGGCATGTTGAAAAGCTTCTGTAACAGCAATAATTGCGTGAGA